TTAACTGGCCATATGCTGTGACCACTGTGTCTTATTGCAAGTTACTTGTAGATATTATTTCTTATTCTGTGATAATTGGCCATATTTTTTGTGTATGCTGATTTAAAGCTATGCTGCATTGAAGTGCATATGTTGATTGCAAGCACTTCAGCAGTGCCCTTTACCCTCTGTGATCCATCCTGGTTACCATTTTCATAGAGTCAGGTGGGTAGAAGAGACACATCTAACATCAAGATCCATGCGAAATTTCAAGTTGTTTGAAGCGTGACAGCACTTGAGTTTCAGAGAATGACTATAAGATGCCAGCACGATGAAACTAATTTTTCTGGTTGTCTGAAGAACATTGCCCCCAGGTCTCAGCCTAAGAAAGAGGCCCAGCCTTGAAAATTTCAGCCTGGACTAATCCTTAGTTAAAACTGCGTAATATTAAAAAGTTCAGCAGTTACTGTCTATTAACAACAAGCTATGACTGGAGTTACTAACAGCTTTTTAATGTAGCAGTTATCAATCTGGATTAATTTCAGTGATTGCTAAAGGATCTCCAGTCTTGCTTAATGGAGGAAATGACAATTCTCCAAGTGTTTCCCTCTAACAGTCTTTTTTAAAGGACGCTTTAAAAGCATGAACAATTTCAGTGAGAGATTTCTGAACATTAAATGCATAATGTGACACGCTCTAGTTGTTAATTTATGTTTGAGGTTTAATTTGTTGCTTAATTAATTTGTGTACTGAGATTATTGTTATGGATGACATTAAGTCCTTGTAATTTTGCCAACTCTTACTATTTCTACATATGTAAACACGTATTTTCAAAGCTGTCTTTTAGATTCTCTGCATCTCTGTAGTATTGAAGGCTAATAATGTCTGTTTGGTGTTTGGGCATACAGTGACTGCGTTTCTAATAAATGAATATTTATAAATGTAAGTGACTTAGCTGATAGATTTTTCAACTGGATCTCTCATCCATTTGTTTAACTTTCTGATCTTTGATATAAAAACTTTTCTCCCTGTATTTTATATTTCACTTCAGGCAAAGTTATATAGCAACCATCCTCTCTCGTTCAAGAAATATGATTAGTAGAGTCATCTGAAACTTTTATACTGTCACTAATCTCACTTCTGTTTAAATATTACTGCCATTAATTTAAATATTGTTATTCAGATATGAACATCTGCCTTTTGCAAGTACTGTTTTTTGCTAATACAGAAACTCTTTAACACATCAGTCAAGCACTTTCTTAAAAACAGATGGATTGTGGAAAACAAAAATAATCAGATTTGACTGTTAGGGGAGTTTAGATATCATGTAGACTGCATAAGCTCTTCACGAGGGAGGGAGATGAGTGTGTGAAGTGCTTTTGCTGATAGGTAGAGAACTCTTCTTTGTTTACTGGCTTAATGAAAACTCTGTTTTGTTTTGATTGTCAAACTTCCGGCCAGCACCTTCTGTCTTTAAGTCCCGTCTAGCCAAAGCACTAATTAGTTCTTATAGCTCATCATAGCATTAATACTTCCTTAAGTCTGTTTTGCATAAATAGGAGGTACTGACACACAAAAATGGGAGAACGATGAATTCTTTAGCTTGTATTTTCAAGGGGATTTGGGGGGGTGGGTGTTGGGCAGTGTTGGATTTTTTATTTGTTTGTTTTTTTAAGCTTTGAGTCTTAAGGGTTCTGTGAAAGCAGTTATTTTTTTATTTTGTATTTTGGAGCTTTAGGATTCTAGCATTCAGCCAATGCTCCTGATGCTAATAAAAGCTTTTACCAGATTATATATATATCAGTATGCAAACTGGATAAAGCCTTTTCCTGCTGCTTGCTTTAAAAATTTGTGTTAATTTTCTTACACCCAACTCAGTTTCCTGTAGTAAAAATAGTGTATCCATGGAAAGATGTCTGGAGGACAGCAGTATAAGATTATGAGGATGAATTAGCTTAGATGTCTTTAGACAGTGCTGTACACATGGTGGAGATGCGTCTTAAGATGTCTGACTCCATTATGTCTAGATAATTTACTAGAAAGTTTTTCATTCCCCGGGATATCAGGTGGATTGACGAACATACTTTATTACAAAATGCAACAAGTTTGTCATTCAGCTGTTGCAGAGTTATTGCTGTTATATTTAGACACTACAGAAACTATTAAACGTCTTGATACAACAATAGATTGTCTTGAGCATTGTCTGAGTGTTCAGAGAATAATCTGAGAAGTATAAATTTGTAAGTTTACCTGCCTTAAATAAGATTACCTGCATGATTTCTGGGAGGTGAGGAAGCTGGAATGAAGAATAGAAGTGAGTTAACTGTACGTTACCACTGTTTAACTTTTTTTGTCCTTCAAAGAGTCGCTTGTTTGCCCTATATGTCACAAGGGACAATATACTTAAGTTCCTACCGTAAGTCTGTTACTTGTTCAGAATTTCTTGTTCTTCTGATCCATAAGATGTTGCTCATCTCTATTGAATATTGAATTTTGAAGACAGTAAGCTGTTTACCCAACTTTCTTAGTTACTGTAATATGAGCATTAAACAAGTAAAGGAAATTAATATTTGTTTTATTTTTGTTCAGGTAGGATGTCTCCAAATATGTAGATTCCTTATTTAAGAGTCTGCTGAAGCTCACTACGTTAAGTAGGTCTTGATTGTTTTGTTTTGTCTATCATGGGGTTAGCAGTTTTATCAACTGAGTTTATAGTCAGAAGTGGTAATTGAAGAATAATCGATTAATGCCTACTGTTGGATGCCTGTCCACACAATCTGTAGTGAAAGCTGTAAGCCGTTCTCAACGCTGTCTCCAAGGATGAGGGAAGTATGCTAAATCTTCACTTTCCCACTGACAGAGTTTGTGAGGAGGATGCAGTCGTTCTTTGTGTCAGACATTGTAGGAGTAAACCTCTGGCTCCGTAGGCTGTGGTTCCCAAATGCAGGCTTGCTTAGGTACAGTCAGCTCCAGGGTCATCACGGCCACCTGCTGAGCTTCCCAGCCGGTGAGCTATGGGGTAGCACCCTGCTATAGGGTAGCACCCTGCGTCCAGGCAGCTCCTCATCTCGGGTGGTGCTGACTGCAGCTCAGGTAAGTGCTTGTCGAGAGGCCCTTGCTGCTAATCAGGAAAGAAGGGTGTGGAAGTACTTTCTGAGATAAGTATCAGGAAATGCTCCTACAGAATACCTGGCAGGAGTTTGTTTAGGGTTTCTTGGAAATTCCTGCCTTGTGTCACATTCAGTCAGGAAAAGCAATGTGTTATAAACCCTGCAATATGTATTAACTATGTCTTTTAGCACACTGACAGGCATCTGTGCTATACGCTGGAGTGACGCAAATCTCAGACTCTTTTAATTTTCTGCAATTGCTTTAATTTTTATCAGCAGTTCTGGAAGCGGGAAGAACCTTTGTTCCACAAATAGATTTCTGAATTTTACCTTGCTTCAGGGGGGCTGAATTCTGTAACGGTTATACCGCCAGACTTCTTGAGACTCGGCTGAACATTGTGCCGAGGAGGGAAAATTGGAGACTGTGTGTTCCTTCTGAAGAAACGTCCGCTGTGTTTGGTGTCTTGGAGAATTAGGGCCTATAAGGAAATTTATCCCTTGCTCTTCCCCTTCTAAAGCTGCCTTCTCCAGTAAGGCTCGCAGCAGCTTTATTCATCTTAGCTCTTCATGTTCCTTTCTGTCACTTTTGGTATTGGTTGTTTGCTTGATTTGAATAATTGATTTGCACGTGTAAAAGCCTTTACTGCTCTAGACCTATACTGTCCTTAATAAATTTTAAGTGCAATAAACTATTCAGTTCTTGTAATGTCTGAACAGGATGAAATGGTGTGCTGCCTCGGGCTACTTTACCAAACCTAGTGTCGTGGTTTAACCTCAGCCGGCAACTGAGCACCACACAGCTGCTTGCTCACTCCCCCTCACCCCCCCGCCGCCCCCCAGTGGGATGGGGGAGAGAATTGGAAGGGTAAAAGTGAGAAAACTTGTGGGTTAATAACAGTTTAATAATTGAAATACAATAATAATAAGGATAGAATGTACAAAGCAAGTGATGCACAATGCAGTTGCTCACCACCTGCCGACCGATGCCCAGCCAGTCCCCGAGCAGCGGCCCCCCTGGCCAGCTTTCCCCCAGTTTATGAACTGAGCATGATGTCACATGGTATGGAATGTCCCTTGGGCCAGTTTGGGTCAGCTGTCCTGGCTGTGCCCCCTCCCAGCTTCTTGTGCACCTCCAGCCTTCTCAGTCGGTAGAGCGTGGGAAGCTGAAAAGTCCTTGGCTAGGGTAAGCACTGCTCAGCAACAACTAAACCATCAGTGTGTTATCAACATTATCCTCATCCTAAATCCAAAACACAGCACTGTACCAGCTACTAGGAAGAAAATTAACCCTATCCCAGCCAAAATCAGGACACCTAGTTACTTGGATAATATTAACAAAAATGTGTTTCAAACATCAACTTTTATTTTCAGGTTGTGTCATGAAACTGGCAGTATATTTTCTGATTATATCATACATTGTTGCGGATTATTTTAAGATTTACATACCGAAATGTAAACCCCTCAAGAAGTTTTTCTGCTGCTTTAGTTTCTCTATACTTTACACCTATTGTTCATCTATAGTTAAGAACAATTAGATGTTTTTAACAAACTGAGACAGTGTGGACCAATAGCAGCAGGGAGTGGAGAAACAGGCACTGTTAATTGAGGTAATGAAATCCATAATTTGTGGCCCAGTGTTTCCCTAACAGTGGGAGATACGAGATGAATTCAAGTTGCTTTCTCTTTCAGTTCGGTAAGTTGCCATACCACTGTTTTCAAAGGAGAATGCAGATGACTTACCTTTGGCTTCAGGCTAAATGGGGAAGAGAAATGTGGGGAAAATAAATTCATATAGGTCAAACTTCTGTAAGAAAAGTTTGCATGTTGTTCCAGTCGTGTCTCATTTACCTCTTTTAGCTGAAAAAGAATATATGTTATCAGTATTAACAAAATCTAATTCTACCTTCACAGATAAATTTGAGCAGTTTTGGGCAATAAATCGAAAACTCATGGAGTATCCTCCAGAAGATAATGGATTTCGATACATCATTTAGAATATTTATCAGGTAGGAGACAATGAAATAAAACCACTTTTACTAAACGCTTCCACTGAGGTGTCATATATCATAATCTGTTTTCAGAATTAAACGTTCCCTTTTCTAACATGGTAAAACTTTGTATGCTCATCTTTGTTGGACCCTTGAGTTGTATGAATTAGCAAAGACAAAATAGACTGTATTTTTTCTAATAGTTAATTACCATTCATTATGTTGTAGGTGTGTAATACTTGAGGATGTGCTAAGGCTGGTATAGATTATGTTTGGTTGGTTTGGTGGTTGTTTTTTTTAAAAAGAAAAAAAGCTAATTCTGTCATTAAAAATAACTGCCAACTATGAAGACTGCTTTGGATGCAAAATGCCCTCTGAAAGGTCTAAGTCAAACATTCCAGGAGTAACACTTTTCCCTCACCCACTGTGTAGGCTTCTTTGCTTGTTGGCATTATAAGGTGAAAGTAATGGCATAGATGTTGCATCTAGTTCTTACCTTTGTCTTCTAATTGTATACTTTACAATCCAAAACTAGCTTTGAATATTTTTGCTGTTTTAATACACCAATGCTCCACGTAGTTTTTATAGCATTAAGGTCACGATGAAGTTTGGAGTTAAGTATGGTTAAAAGCTTATGCAGAATTCTTGTAGCCTCTCCGTAAATGAAACAGTTCTGCTCTGTTTCGTCTTTGAAACGTTTTCATCTATTTACATTTAAGTTTTGCACCTGTAACTATCAAAAGTCCTTTATTCATAGTACTGAATAGTCTGATAGTACTTTATAACAGGTTTTAATGACCATACAAACCTATACAATCTTGCAATGGGACTGAAGTAACTTTTAATGTTAGATATAAGACATTTACCGTCATAGTGAAACCTTAGATTGAGAACGGAAGTCAGTTATTTTGTCAGAGATCATAGCAGATGCAAGGTTTGTATAAGTATCAAAAAGTATGTATCAGGAAAAGTAGTTCACTCACAGCATTTTGTTTGGTTGGTAACTAAGTTGTTTGTTCTCAGATAGGTGGTTTTGGGTTTTTTTAAGTCTTTTCATAGAAATCACGTAAATGGGTTTGCGAAATGGAGGTTTTGCCGTCTAAATAAGGTACAGACCTTTAAGCCATGAGGGAAATTTTCTATGATAGTACATGATTTCATGCTAGTAAAGCTTTAA